TATTTTACGTTACATAGCAACGGTTATTAAATTACATCCAACTGACATTACAATGTTTCCTAGCAACAGTTATTAAATTACATCCAACTGACATTACAGTGTTTCCTAGCAACAGTTATTAAAGTACACCCAATTAGAAGTATTTTACGTTACATAGCAACGGTTATTAAATTACATCCAACTGACATTACAGTGTTTCCTAGCAACAGTTATTAAAGTACACCCAATTAGAAGTATTTTACGTTACATAGCAACGGTTATTAAATTACATCCAACTGACATTACAGTGTTTCCTAGCAACAGTTATTAAATTACATCAAACTGACATTACAATGGTTTAATAACTGTTGCTAGGAAAGTACACCCAATTGGAAGTATTTTACGTTACATAGCAACGGTTACTAAACCACAACTCCTTTTGTTTTCTTAGTTCCCTAGAATCCACCCAGCTTAAGACTTCATCTTTCTCGAACTACTCTTGTTCTAATGACGAATTATACTCACTGTCTCGTCAATATGGAACCTTGACAAGAGATCCAAGTCCTCGAACATCTGGATAGCTGCTATTACCATCTCGTCTGATGTTAAAGAGAAATCATCGAACTTCAGACTTCTCAGCTGCCAACTTCTCACCTCCGCCACCTCACGGTCCTGTTTAATGAGCGACAAAGTGATATTTCTATTTAATAACAAAGGACACGTCAGTAAATTCGGTTAATGCTTACAATACATGCAAGAAGAAAATTAATTGTTTGTATTTTTGTGGTTAGCTAATTAATCTATATCAACTTTGACTATTTCAAGAAATAAGCCTATCCAATAAATCAACAGAGTTAGTGCTGGTTAACATTTATGTCTCATGAAAGTATTAGCATTTCTTGTAAAAGTACTTTCTTTGCATTGTCTAATAATAAAAAAGGTTCCGTTTTAGTTAGATGACTATTTTAAGAAACGTTTTTTTTTGTTCTTTTATTTTATTACATGACCGTCATCTTTATTACATCTTGTTTTGTAATATTGTTCCAAATGTCTTGTAGTACTTCTCACAGTTTAGCCAATTTCCTTTATGACATTCTCATTTTTACGTAAGTCCGTGTAGCCCCAAGAATGTTTATATCGGGCTTTGGGCAGACCAAAATATCGTTTCACCACATTTACTGTATACTTAAAATCACTGTCTTGCTGGAACGTGAATCCTCGTCTGATGAGCATTGTTCCTTTAGAAATGGCATTATGGATTAGAATCTTCCTGTACTCATTAGCAGTCAGTGTGCTATCAGTTTTGTTATATGTTAGCTGAGATACCTCCTCATACTTGTACTGATCCCCCATCATGATTCACTGTGGATGCTGTACATTGATTATGATTATATTAATCTTTCCAATGTCCATTACAACATTTTGCTTTGGTTAATTATTTTCAACAGGGTTTTCAAGCAGTTACACACAAACTGAGACTACTTCGTGCTGATGGGTGTCTTATTCTACTCCGCTTACACCAGTTATTACAGTGAGGTCGTCGGCAAGATCTGTACTAGACCGTCGTCTTTCCCGTAAATAACATGTCCTTAGATACTTAAACTTGCTTTGGAAGAGTTTCATTTTTCTACTTTGACCACTTATATTACTGGCAGCGCTAGTTTTATATACCCTCTTGAAAGTCTTAAAGAAAGTTCTTATTAAAATACGGAGTACTGCCACAATCTTTTACCATGGAATATTCTTGGTCAGCTAAAACTTTGATTTCTACATGCTTGTCATCAGAGGTCTTTCAGTCTTGGGAACCATGACTGGAACTACACTACTGCTACTGGGCATAGTATACCTACTTGTACTTTACAGGTTTATACTGATATGGTGCTTTCTACTTTGACAACCAATCAAACTGCACTCTGTTGGAATTCAATTTGATACGATAAAATGGTGACTTTTCTGTACTATTTGTCTTTTATACCTTTTACCCCTATCATTTCTATAGTTCGTTAGAATATTTATACAGCAGTAATATGGTAATCAAGGATAGCTTCATCGTTTATTTAAGTAAAATGTAAAATATTTGTTCCCCTACCGTAATTATTTGTGGATATTTACATTGTAACATCCCGTATACATAGAAACAAATAGTGGTGTTATTTGAAATTTATTTCATATTCTGTTGATGGTCAATAATAATATCGTGGCACTAATCTATTTCAAAAAGTTCTAGGTTGTTTATAAACCCTAATGTGTGTGTTATTATTGTATGGAAACATTAAAGAATAAGCTTAATCTTACCAGATATTTCTTGATATCTTTGGGAGTTGCAGTAGCATGATAAGAGATAACCTGTAACAAAATAGTCAAGTTAGGCTTAATAAAAAACAATCTTGATACCTTTGGGGAATACAGTAACATGATAAGAGATAACCTGTAACAAAATAGTCAAGTTAGGCTTAATAAAAAACAATCTTGATATCTTTGGGGAATACAGTAACATGATAAGAGATAACCTGTAACAGAATAGTCAAGTTAGGCTTAATAAAAACTATCCTGATATTCTTGGGGAATACAATAGCATGATAAGAGATACCCTGTAACAGAATAGTCAAGTTAAGCTCAATAAAATACTATCTTGATATCTTTGGGGAATACAGTAACATGATAAGAGATAACCTGTAACAGAATAGTCAAATTAGGCTTAATAAAAACTATCCTGATATTTTTGGGGAATACAGTAACATGATAAGAGATAACCTGTAACAGAATAGTCAAGTTAGGCTTAATAAAATACTATCTTGATATCTTTGGGGAATACAGTATCATAATAAGAGATAACCTGTAACAGAATAGTCAAGTTAGGCTTAATAAAAAACTATTCTGATATTTATGGGGGATGTAATGGCATGATAAGAGATAAACTGTTACATAATAGTCAATTTATGCTTGATGGGAACAAAACGTTTAATTATTTTAATAAAATTTGCTTAAATTAACTCTGCCACATACACTACACGTCAACTTGAACAATACTGCTACACACATTACACATCAATTTGAATGATGAAATCAGCACTTTCACACACTAGCGATACAACACACAAACTGAAACTAACGAACCATTACAGTACTACAAAATAGGTAAGCTGAAACGGTCGAATCAAAATCATCGTATAATACACATCAAGTTGAATGGGTGAATCAATACAATCATACACAATACGTAAGCTGAAAAAGGACCAATCAAAAACTCATATACCATAAATGGAAATCATTAACACTCACCTCAATCGCAACTTTCTGACGGGCCATTGCTTTTTCTAGCTCACTGTACATAAGGGTGTTGTTGATTCCAAGTCCACAGAATAACGTAAAGGCCTAGAAACAGAAATAAACTTTTAGGTTAAACTCACCACACAGAGAATACAGTACAAAACTATGTTCCATTCTTGAAACAGCACTTCAAAGGACAAAATATTCTATAAACGAGTTTTTTCGGTCCTTGTCAATAAGCCTTTGTCAACGGTGATAAACCTCGTTTTTTCGTTCCTTGTCAATAAGCCATTGTTAATATTGATAAATCTAGTTTTTCGTTCCTTGTCAATAAGCCTTTGTTAACGGTGATAAACCTAGTTTTTTCGTTCCTTGTCAATAAGCCTTTGTTAACGATGATAAACCTCGTTTTTTCGTTCCTTGTCAATAAGCCTTTGTTAATATTGATAAACCTAGTTTTTCGTTCCTTGTCAATAAGCCTTTGTTAACAGTGATAAACCTAGTTTTGTCCTTCATTGTCAATAAGCCTTTGTTAACAGTGATAAACCTAGTTTTGTCCTTCCTTGTCAATAAGCTTCTGTTAATACTGACAATGGAAACTACTAACTATGTTGAATTAATTCATTTGATTTTAAAAACTTAATCATCAATAAACTCTGATTTTATGTGATCTCCTTTTATAAGGAAATCATTAAAAACCTTTACCATTAATAGAAGGTGAAATCATCTTTAGACTAAAAGCAAGGGTAGGAAACGAATAATAATGTTTATAGAGTAAATCATAGTAATCTTGGAGACAGTCCTACATATATCAAGAACTGAATGTATGGTCTGACCTTAAATAATCTTTCAAAATTTAAAAATCAAGTCATTTTTAGCATAAAATATTCAATTTTAAACAAAATCTACACTATTTCACAAAACCTTTGAGATTGTAGCATGCCTCGTTAAATCAAAATATAAACATTATTTCACACAACCTTTCAGACTGTAATATGCCTTGTTCAAATCAATGAAATATATACTATTTCACAAAACTGAAATATCCACTTTTAGAGCCAGCGAAATCTAAGCTCATAGTAGCCCAGCATTAGCTTAAAGAGGAGACAGAGAAGAAAAAAAACTGTTTGTCACGGTCTGTTCACTGAAGCTTGAGAATTAGATATTTTAAAAGTCTACTTACTAATATAACGTTTCTCAGATCGACGTCAAAACACCAGTTAATTTATTTACTTTACCCCCACGTAGAACAGAGAAATCACTTTTACAAGCCGTGATGTCGTATCTGAAACTTGGTTTCATTTGTCATAAAACAACGAACAACGTTGAAAAAGTGATTTCTCTGCACGGGGGCTACTCAAGACGTGTTGTCGTACACTTATACTGTTCGTTTAGTTCGAGGGTAAACTGAATGAAGAATTCACAGCTTCTAGATTTGATAGTACCAGTTATTATTACTTTTTCTAGGCCTGATAAGGCCTGGTGACTAGGGTCGCAAGCTAGATTCCCTGTCACCGAACATGCTCACCCTTTAGGGTTAATTACTATCAGGTCCAGCCACCCGAGTGTAAAAATTCTTAGCTAATACAAAATCGCCAAGACTAACCTTTATGTAGGTTAGTTACCAGCCTAGGAAGAAAACAAAATAACCTTCATGTAGGTTAGTTACCAGCCTAGGTAAAAAAAAAAACTAACCTTTATGTAGGTTAGTTACCAGCCTAGGTAAATAAACAAACTCACCTTTATGTAGGTTAGTTACCAGCCTAGGTAAAAAACAAAATAACCTTTATGTAGGTTAGTTACCAGCCTAGGCAAAAATCAAAATAACCTTTATGTAGGTTAGTTGCCAGCCAAGGCAAAAATCAAAATAACCTTTATGTAGGTTAGTTTCCAGCCTAGGTAAAAATTAAAATAACCTTTATGTAGGTTAGCTACCAGCCTAGGCAAAAAACAACATTAACCTTTATGTAGGTTAGTTACCAGCCTAGGCAGAAAAATCACTAACAGTTATCTTTTGCAGGTCAGCTACCAGCCTAGCTACCTTTATAAATTCATTATATAGAATAGTTAATGATTATTCTCATAGGGGTACATAGAACTCGGCGTTATTATTTTAACAATTCTACATAATTAAATTTACACAGAAAGATAATTTATAAACAAGAAATGTATCATGTTTTTAATACAAAATACTTCATAATTCATGTAAAATAATATCGAAGTAGAAACGCATGTATTTCGCTCTTCCTTCTTATCGTACAATCATTTAGTTAATGAAAAATATTTTTTCCAGTGACACGGGACATGCACGAGACTAAGTCTTTTCATAGGAGATAATGTGGGATTGATAGTTACTGGTATGAAAAGGCTTAGTTGAAATCGCACAGACGATCATGAGGGAAATAAAGTTACGCCAAATAAATATTACTAACACACAGGCAGGGATAAAAAAATATATAATGCATGATATTGATACATTACTCAGTTGATATACTCCATCAATATCAGTAAATGTTGAAAAACAAATTTAATTTAAAATATATTGTTACAGTCACTGTTATTCCTTCTAGATTCTAACTTATATCGTTACAACGTTACAAAGGATCTATCTGTAGACATTTTTACTCAGTCTCAATTATTAAACATTATTCAATTTGTGTTATATAGCAATTAATATTTGCCTCAAACAGTTGCTCGTCGTTCTCATCGAAGAGAAGTCCGTCTATGCGATTAATGATGGTCGCGACACCTGGAAAACGAACAAGTTTTTAAAATGATCTATTAAAAGAAAAATTGTTGTCGAATACACTTCTGTTAAACACAAAAAAAGATGAAATAACTACAACTTTAAAACTGTGCAATTTGTATAAAGTTGATTATTTATTCTTAAAATATATACAGACATTTGGTAATATTTTAAATACTACGAACGTCATAACCGGTGAAACTTACTAAATCTTATTTAAACATTGATTTGAAAACTATACAGATATATGAAAGTTAAAATATTATTTTCCAAAACTGTGTAGCTACTCTTAAGATTAATTATCGAGGTAGATGTTGAACTAATGTTTACCAATTATTTTGTAATTCCTTTCTCTAACTGGCATACATAACAGTGACCGGATATGACGACCTGAGTCTTCCGGTGTCTGAAATGAGCGAAAAAAATGTATCTTCTGTACTTCTGATGACAGAAATGATTACATGCAGAATTCTTATTTATTTTCTACCAGACTGAGTAATAAATAAGAATAAATTTTTAAG